TTTTTGCAGCCTTTTTCATCCAGTGCTCTCAAAGTGCTATACAGACCTCATTCTACAGCTGCATCAACTGAGGCAGGGGATTAAGTGACAAGCCTAAGGTCACACAACACGGCAGTAGCAGCAGATGCCTCCCCTAGCTCCTAGTCTTATGCTGTAACTGCTCTGTCTCCTCTCTCAACATGCTCCCAACAAGGCTTACAGGACACGAAGATATTCAGCTGGAGAAACTCAGACCCGACTTACAACAAAAAAATAACTGGGAAAAAACTCTCAAAAATAGCCAATGAGAGACAAAGGAAAGATGCTCTGAAGACTGAAGGACTAAGGACAGCTAGGGTACGTCTAGACTACATCCCTCTTTCTAATAAATTAGACACTTCAAAATTGCAAATGAAGCCGGGATTTAAATTTCCCATGCTTCATTTGCATATTCGCATCATGGCGCTCTTTCGAAAAAGCGCTATTTCGAAAGTGAAACCACAGTCTAGACGCGGTTCTTTCAAAAATAGAAGGCTTTTTCGATAGATCCTGTAAACCCTGACACACCCCTACAGTACAGGCAACGTGTCAACTTCAATCTGGACAGACCTAATCACCGGGCTGTTCCATTTCCATGGCCCTTGATGGACAAGCAGAAATGGGTTAAAATTACAGCAAGGGAGGGAAAAACTTCCTACCTGTCAGGGTGGTTAAGCACCGGAATAAATTGCCCAGGGGGGTTGTGGAATCTCCATCACTGGAGATATTTCAGAGCAGGGTAGACACACACCTGTCTGGGATGGTCGAGACTAGATGGCTCTTGGTCCAGCCATGAGTACAGGAGACTGGATTTAGGGATCTCGCGAGGTTCCTTCCAGTTCTATGATTCTAAGCGTGGGAGGGGGCAAGTGTGTTTTACTGCCACATGCTGCCCTCCGGACCCCTAAAGTAGTCAACTGGACAGGGCCGTTCATGGTTCCTCCGCCCAGATTAGCAGGGTGCCTTCATCCAAAGGAATAACGACGGCAATTACACTGTTGCTTCCAATGCTGTCTGGGCTGAGAAAACTAGTTGCGTTCCACTAGCCTCGGAACATGCCAAAAGAGGGGGAGTGTTAACTGAGAAATAATTAGAGTGGGGTGATCTTTCTGAAAAATACCGCTGGCACACAGCTGTCCACCAGAGCTTTTGGGGATAGGACCAGAAAAGCACCAGAGGGGGGAGAGATTTTTACAAGGGGATTACATGCACTGAACCATGATCAAACATCAGGCTTAATCAATACATCGTTCCAATGCTCACGCGCCGCTCTAAGGAACTGGCAGATTTCGAAGACTATTTCGGTAGATCGCTGGCATAATGCCAACTTGTTATCCACCACTGCTGAGTTGCAAAGAGAAGATGCCTTAATTACCTGACACACATGCTGCTAAAGGTCATGCTGCTATCAAAGCCTTCTTTTTTAATGTTTTATCTCATTTAAGAGGCTTATCTTCCTGCCGGCTAAAGATCCGCTATCTCTTTGCAACTAAAAACTACAAATAAGAAGGGAGGTGCAGATACATCACAGAGTTGCAACCACTCTGAGCCATTCCACACCGTGGGCCCACATCTAAGACAGGTCTGAACGGTCACAGCTGTTAGGACACGTCCCAAACCCAGTGCATCTCGCCTAGGTGAATAGGCACCGGACTCTGCAAACAGGACACGCCTTCTTCCCACTGTTGCTCTTTTAGAAAGCTGCAAAACCAAACCTCTAGACTCTTGCAGGGGATTTTTTTTCCTCATACCTGATAATCTTGGTCATCGATCCCAAATCTCTCTCGGAGGTTTCGGAACACCATCGGGCAGTACTCCTTAAATTTAAAACGGCTCGGCAAATTTTCCCTAAAACAAACACCAAGATGTTAGTCCTGCACAGCAAACTCTGTAGCACAATTTGAAAGGCCATTTCCCTGTTCTAAGCTCGCCCACTAACCCCAGAAGTACTTTTCGATGGGGGCGGGGACACACCATTCAAAGAATTTGGGAAGTGGTAATTTGGGAATTCATGGAGGCGGTGCGAGGTCTAGGAGGGAGGTTGGGTGCAGAAGGGAGCTTGGAGTAAGGGACTGGGGCACAGGAGAGGGTGTGGGATCTGGGAGGGGGTTTGAGTGAAGAAGTGGATTGTTACCTGGGACAAGGAACTGGGGGTCGGGAGGAGGTGCAGAGTTTGGGTTGTGACCTGAGGCAGGAGGGGGTTGTGACCTGAGGTTGGGGTACTGGGTCTGGGTGGGGTACTGGGTGTGGCAGATGGAGTGCAGAGGTTTTGGGTTATATGGGGTAGGGGGCAGGAGAGGGCAGCAGAGAATTGGGGGGACGAAGGGGGCTCTGGTGTCAGAAGCAGACTTTGGCCAGGAAACGCTTAACTGGGCGACTCCCTGCTCACTACTCAGAGCAGCTGTGGGACTATGTGCTGCTCTGAACCCTGCAATACTGGAAGGAGGGGTACTTTGCAAGCTGCCTGTCTTGCAAACAGGCAGCTCCCATTGGCCAGTTTCCAGCCAATGGGAGCTGTGCTGGGGGCACCGTAAGTTACCAAAGTATTTAAGTGTTTCCAGAATCTGGCCCTCAGTCTGCAAGCTCTTTGAGAGCACGTGCACATCTTTTATACAGTCATGAAGTACCGTGTCAATTCAGTGATGTGTCAATCAATCATTAGGAGAGCTGAATCCAAACACACAGTAGGATTCTATTCAAGGGCTGAAGAAAGTCACATATGGAAACGCAGCGCCCACATTTCCAAATGCATTGCAGCATTTTTAATCAATAGCACAATGCTCTTCTGTTCTCGATGCAGGCAGCATCTCAGGCAGCATTTTCACCATTTTGCACATAAGGAAACTGAAGCGTAGGCCTGTGGAATGATTTGTTTAAGGGCAGAGCGTAAGTGGTCCCACTCTCAAACTTCTGTTTCCATGCCCTAACCATTGCTCAGCACAGCTTCCTTAATCCAGAACCAGGTTTTCAAGCAACAGAACATACACCTCTCGAGAAACCAGTTTGTCCCTGAAGGACAAATGTCATTTTTGTCTTTTTTTGATCACATGGAAGAATCGGAGTATCATGTCCAGTTCTGGGCACCACGTTTCAGGAAAGATGTGGAGAAATTGGACACAGTCCAGAGAAGAGCAACAAAAATGATGAAAGGTCTAGAGAACATGAGCTATGAGGGAAGACAAAGAATTGGGCTTGTTTAGAAAAGAGAAAACAGAGAGGGGACATGGTAGCAGTTTTCAAGTATCTAAAAGGGTGTTAACAAGGAAGAAGGAGAAAAATTGTTCTCCTTGGCCTCTGAGGATAGGACAAGAAGCAAGGGGCTTACATTGCCGCAAGGGAGATTTAGGTTGGACGTTAGGAAAAACTTCCTACCTGTCAGGGTGGTTAAACACTGGAATAAACTGCCTAGGTGGGTTGTGGAATCTCCATCACTAGAGATATCGACGAGCAGGTTAGACAGATATCTATCAGGGATGGTCTAGGGACAGTGCTTGGTCCTGCCATGAGGGCAGAGGACATGACTTGACTTCTCAAGGTCCCTTCCAGTTCTAGTGTTCTGTGAATCTATGATTCTCCCCCGTCTGCAAACCTAGATTTGGAGGAGTAATTCTTCCCTTTGCTCTTTCTTTGTTGCTTTAGTTCTGCTGAATAATTCAGATGGACCTTGTAACACGCGACTGTTTAAATGAAAAGCCGTGGAAAGCAGCCCTCTCGTTTCAGAACTCATCGGCAGGACTTAGAACGAAAGGTGAGGAAGAGGCCAGGCACTGGCAGGTGGTTAACAGTCAGGAGACAAAGCAGAGTGGATAAATCAGCTCCAGTCTTGTTTCTCTTAACTCACAGTGTAAGAGTCTCTTGCACAGTCCTCTCCTTCAACAGAGGCTGCCAAGCTTGCTCAGCCCCAGTGGTCTCTGCCCACTGAGGGAGGAGCAGAGACGATGGTCTTACCAGAACCTCTGACACATGGCGTACACCAGTGCATAGGAACAGAAAACTCAACAGCTGCATATTGCAGCCCGGGAGTAAGTCTGCTTCGGAGTCACCCTTCCACTCTCAAAAGCGGATTGTTGACAGACAGGGGCAAGATACAAGACCTAGAGGGTGACACACCAAGTAACAGATTGCCACTCCCGGTATCAGTTCCATCTACTGGCCTGAAGCACTTCCAAACGCAGGAGCTTTGGGGGGGTCTGTTCAGTTCCCCTCACTACATAGTGTCCCCAGAGCTACTGGCTGCCTTTTCAGCAGAGGGGCACAGATCCTAAGGGGACACGCAGAGTGAATCCCCTCTCACATACGTTCATCTAGGGATGGTCTCTTTGGGGCCAGTCTGAGGCAGACAGGCAGAGCAGCGTGGGAGGAGGGGGAAGAACTTTAGCTATAGGGTGTTGGATCTACAGCCCTCCACTCGCACTAAAAGAAATTCAATCCTATACCCAATCCAGCAAGGACACCCCGGTGATTACAGTGCAGCTTTTATCACCTCTGCGTCGCCACCTTTCCTCTGCGCCAACAGTCAGAATTCATGCATGGCACTGACAGTCGGAATACCCACTTCCCTGCTTGGCAGGTGTGGCATGTCACGTAGGGTGAACAGATTTCAAACAATGGCAGATGCTTGCTTTGCAACAGCACAGGGAAATATTTGGAACTGGGATCTGCCTGTCACGCCTCGTGGACAGCTGAAGGGTTTCTTTACAGACAAAATGAACAGCGAAGGTTAGGGGAGGTGAAACTACACCTACTTACTTGTTGAAAAGATGATTGTCCACCTTAATCTTACTGTAGGCTTTAAAGTCATCTGGCATTAACATGACAGGGACAGGAACATTGCTTAGCTCATTGATCTGGAAGAGAAAAGGAAAACAAACAAGACTCAGAACTTGAATTACGATCCCCACGGATTTATTGCCCCGAAAGCTCTGGATATCGTGGAATTCGTGCTAGAAAAGGATTTGGAAGTGATCCAATTCATTAAACTTTTAAAGCACATTTCTGTGCTGACCAGATCTGGCAAAGTGCTGTCGTTTCGAGTTTAAAAGGGCATCTTGTCCAGTGACGAGGCAAGTACATTTCCAGCCAGCACGTGCTCTGTATTGTTCAAGGCAGCTAGAATTTGTTACTCTCCTATTGATCACCCAGGATCTGAGCCGAGCGAAGATCTAACCACATACAGCAAGCCTTCACGCAGCTGTTCTATATTTATCCTCCGCGCGCTGCAGGTCAGAGCCTCGCTGGAAAGAGACTCCGTAACCAGTTCTCGCTGTTACAAATGGGTTGGACCATGACAGAGGTTCTGGGCTGCTTCTCTCAAGCCAATAGAGCTGACTTGGCGAGACTGGCTGCTTCCTTGGCTGTCTGGGGTAGTGCTTATCCCACACCCCCATCGACGGAATGAATCACTCGACTGGTCTCTGCTGTTCCCTGCCACAGGAATACATGGAAACAGGGGATTCAGCTGCCCCAGTGCAGGGCAGCAGCAGGCCCCCCCCCCCCCTCCCCACACACACACAAACTCACCAGAGCAGCAAGAGCTGGAGCAAACTCACCATGGCAGCAGGAACTAGCGCCCAAGGCGCTCCGCTTCCCACAGATCCACAGGGAAACAGAGCGCAGCGGGACTGGAAGGAGCAGAACAGGCTGCCAGGTGACTCTGGCTCCCGCCACCGGGGGACCAAGTCCCGCTGCTGCCCCGTGGCAGGCCCCCCAGCTGCTCAGGGGAGGGGATTTCAGGCAAGGGGATGGAGCAGAGGCAGGAAGGGGTGGGGGGCAAAGCTTGGGGAAAAAGGGAGGAGCAGAAGTGAGCCAGGACCTGCACCAGGCGTTTGCCCTGAGGCCCACGCCGGGGCACCAGGGGGCGGGTTCCCCAGGCCCGGCACACCCCAGGGATGGCCATGTCCACGGGTATCCTCAGCGGATGTGGATATCTGCAGATCGTTTTCACAGCTGCAGATCCCAATTCTGTATCTGTAGTAAGATGGCCTGAGGGCGGCATGCGGCTGTCACATGCTAAATGAACCCACTCAGTAAGACCGTCCCCAGAGACGGGCTGAAACCTTCCTCGCAAGCAAGGCTCGCGAAGCAGCGCCCGCCCGCCCAGCTTCCCCTCACCCCAGCCCTTCTCTCAGACTAAAACCAGTCCAATCATCAGTCATTTGGAACCCACAGTGGCCCCATCAGTCCCCACTCTCTCATCTGGTATGAACACGGTGGATTTCAGAAGTCATTCCCCTGCAATTCAATTACCACTGCAATTTGAAAATGCGGCTGCTCCAATCCAGCAAGACTGAGGAGAGAAGCAGCAGTGGGCAGGGAGCCAGGAGATGTGGCAGCGGAGCCTGGCTTTTGTGAAGGCCTTGGATCTCGGGGCTCCTCGGTTGCCCCGTGTGTAAGGTAGGGGCAACAGGTCAGAAACTGCAAAGTCATTCGTTGTTTGCTAAGAAGGTGGTGATCTGCCAATAGAAGACACCAGAGGACAGCCAAAGATGCGCTCAAGGGGAGAACCTACGGCCCGGATCCAGCCCAAGCGTGCTTTGCTCCTGCACGGTGCTCCTCCCCAGAGCCGCACGAGCTGGTGTTGGCACTCCAGCCACATGGGGGGGGTGCACTGGAGGGAGGACTGAGCCTCCTGGGCCCAATTGCAGGCTGCAGGTTCTATTTGGCAGGGAGGAAGCACTCCCTGCAGATATGGCTCCCCCCCCCCACGCTTATTGGCTGGGAATCGCAATCAATGGGAGCATCATGGGGGGCGGTGGCTGTATGGAGTGCTTCCCTACAGCGCACAGAGCCACCTGTGCTCCCCCCTACCAGTCCCGGGAACTGCACCAGGTAGGCATCCACATCCCTGCCTCCTCTCGCCCAGATCCCACGCCCCCAGCCTGCTCCTGCATCCCTACCCGGCTCCTGCACTGTCCCTCTCTCCCTCCCAGACCTCACCCCCAACTGACTTGGCCCACAAAAGGTTCCTCCACCCCCAATCTAAGCCATTCTAATCCCTTAGCAAACCATCACTGAACAGACTGGTATTTTTCACATCTCTTCTCACACGGTCGTCCATGAAAGAAACGCACATAGCCAACACTGTCAGTGCAAAATCAGGTGGTGTTACAAAGGGGGAAAAAAGAACCAGTAAAGAGAAAAATTGTGGGAATCAGCAAGGAGGGAGGAAAGCAAAAGGGTCGTCGGTGGAATCTGAAAGCAGCTCTTTAAAGCACTGCCCAGCATTTACTCCATCGCAGCAGCCAAGGGTAGTACCCACTTAGCTAAAGTGCTTTGTTGTGACTGAAGAGCACCATTCAAATGAATGAATAAATAATGGTACATGCTGCCTATCATTTGTAAATTGCAATGGAGCGAGGAGACCGACACCCTCTGCATCTTCTGAAAGCCTGATCTTGGACAAGGCAGATACCACATGCTGGGCGTAGAAGTGCAAAGTGATAGGAGATGACTCAGGTGTGGGGCAAGCAGACCTTCAATTATGCATTATGAGATGCTGCTTAGACAGCAGGTTTAACACAAACAAGAGGAAGTTTTTCTTCACGCAGCGCACAGTCGACCTGTGGAACTCCTTGCCAGATGTTGTGGTGAAGACCAGGATTTTTAAACAGGGTTTAAAAAAAACTAGATACATTCATGAAGGACAGGTCCATCAATGGCTATGAGCCAGGATGGGTAGGAATGGCGTCCCTAGCCTCTGTTCACTCCCTCTGGGGCATCTGGTGTTGGCCACTGCTGGAAGACAGGAACTGAGCTAGATGAACCTTTGTTCTGACCCAGTCTGGCCGATCTCATGTTCGCAGCTTCCAAATTATCCTTCCTAGCAGGAAGGAACTACTAAGTCAGCTCTCCAAGGTGGGAGGCAAAAAGATTTTAGCCAACCTGTGTTTATTCTAGCTTCTGCAGCGATGCAACCTTTGCAGCTGACAAGTGGGATCTACTCCAACCCTTCAAAGCACACCCATCCCACACAATAATTGCCCCAGCTGCAACCGTCAGACAAGGTCCAAGGGGAAACCCTTTTCTAGCGACCTCTCCCCCAAGCCAGCTGCACTGACTGGACTCTGCCACCAGCTTTTGGCTACTGGGTCGAGGGTCAGCAGAGAACAGCCATTGGACAGGAAGGGGGCGTGGGTTTATTCTGGATGGCACTGCATCACTGCTCAACTGTTTATGAGCACGAGTCGGTCCCAGCTGTTTATCCTGATCCTATTCAACGTATTCATAAATGATCTGGAGAAAGGGGTAAACAGCCAGGTGGCAAAATTTGCAGTGGATACAAAACTGCTCAAGGTAATTAAGTCCAAAGCAGGCTAAAGAGCTCCCAAAGGAGCTCACAAAACTAAGTGACTCAGCAAGAAAATGGCAGATGAAATTGAATGTAGATAAACGCAAAGTGATGTACATTGGAAAACATAATCCCAGCAATTTGTATATAAAAGGATGGGAACTAAATGAGCAGTTATCACTCTAGAGCAAAATCATGGAGTTGTGGAGCGTTCTCTGAAAACATCCACTCTCTGTGCAGCCAAAAAAAGCAAACAATGTTGGGAATCATTAAGGGATAGAGAATATCTTATTATCTCTATATAAATCCAGGCTACACCCACATACTGAATACCGTGTGCAGATGTGGTCGCCTGATTTCAACAAAGATATCTTGGCACTGGAAAAAGTTCAGAAAAGGGCAACAAAAATTATTAGGGGTATGGAACAGCTGCCATAGGAGGCGAGATTAATAAAATTGGGACTTTTCAGCTTAGAAGAGAAACAGCTAAGGGGAGATATTATAGAAGACGATAAAATCATGACTGGTGTGGAGAAAGTGAATAAAGAAGATTTTAATTATTCTTTCCCATAACCCAAGAACTAGGGATCACCCAATGAAATTAACAAGTAGCAGGTTTAAAAACAAAAAAGGAAGTATTTCTTCACACAACCTGTGGAACTCCTTGCCAGAGGATGGTATAAAGGCCAAGACTACAACAGGTTTCAAAAGAAAAGCTAGATAAATTCATGGATAGGTCCATTGATGGCTATTAGCCACGATGGGAAGGAAGGATGCTTGTAGTGTCTGTCAGAAGCCAGGAATGGGTGACAAGGGTGAGATCACTGGGGCACTTGGCATTGGATACTAGCTAGAATAGATGAACCTTGGTCTGACCCAGCATGCCAGCTAGACAGAGATGTGAAAGCCAGACATCCACTACTAAGAAGCTAGGTGCTGTATTGTTGCATTACTCGGTGGATTGGATGTTTAACCCCAAACACCTGCCCCCATTTACACAGTCTGCATTAAAAGACACCTCCACCCCTCCCGCCACCTCACTAAAACTCCCTGCCCACTAATTATTTTATAGCTCCTTCTAGGGATCACAAAGCTCTTTAAAAATAGTGACTTACGCTTCACAGCTCCCTGGAACGGAGGGTTCTGTATTACAATCCCACACTGAATGCAGCAAGCGACTTTACCTTACAAAGTGATCAACAGACTAAAGAGCAGAACAGGTGTTTCTAGTCCCCGCCGTTCACAAGTGATTTGTCTCTAAAACTATGTCAGAGCTCCCTTGGTCCCTCATTCTTGGCACTGGCCCAGGATTGAATATAGATACTCTCAGGCCTTCGACTAGCATAACCCACATACTTTGTTACAACAACAGAGCGCTGCCAAGTTTTACATCCTTTTTTAGGACCTGAAGGACAGGAAAAAACCAACTGCCCTCATGTTGCCTTTGAAAGTTCACTACAGAACCACTGCTCCTGTTTCCAGTGCACCCCAGCATTTCCCACCACGTCATAAGAATGTAAGAGCTGACACGGTGGGTCAGATTAAAGTCTATCTTGCCCA